AATAATAGTGTGCCCACCCGTGCAAACAGTGGCACGGAAGCCGGGGTCACGTTATCTATAACGTGTGTCCCCCACCCCGAGCAAGCTTTGGGCTGGTTTCTCATGCCCTTGATGGTTGCAGGCAGGTTGCACCTCCATGCCCCCAGCCAGGAGGGAGGACGGGGTCCTGTGCTGGAGGGGGACCCCCCAGCAGGCGGTTGGAGCATAGGGGGTCTCAGCCAGTGGCTGTGCCGGGGGGGAAGTGCCATCTCGGGGGTGTCCGCAGAAGCTCTCCAGGTCTTCAGCAGCACCCTGGCATCCAGGCGGGCACGGTGTCTTCCCTGGGAGTCGGTGCTTCCCGTGATGGAAATAGTAATGCCGCAGTGACAAACACATGGCTGCGGAGCGGCGTGCCTGCAGCGTGGCTTTTCCACCCCAGCCACGTTTCGGCCTTGCCGGGGAAAGCAAAGCGGGGCCTGGGGTGTGCCTGGCCCCCGGTGTCCCCATCAGCCCCTCTCTGGGGGGGTTCGGCGGGACCTGCCATGCCATGGCGGCATCCTCCCTGCCGGCTCTCTCCAGACACCCCATAAACTTCTCTGGGGTTATCTCGGGGTGATATGCCGTCACTTAACACAATAATCTCGAGAGTGTGAATTGTGTGTGTACTGCAAATGTATATTTTGTCTGTGCTTGTTTTTTGTTTTTTTTTTTAAATGAGTTTGTATTCCGAAATCAACACTAAATTCTCTTTTCTGACAGGTATCGTTTATTTCTCTTCCTTATCTCCATAGTAATATGCTTTGTTGTGACCAAGTCCTTCCTGCTGACCTGCTGTTTGCCCATCTTTCTGATGGGCATGAGGTACTACTTCAGTAGAAAAGTTATCCTCCACTATCTCGATTGTGCGCTGCATACGGACATGTCCGATATTGAGCAATATTACATGAAACCGCCAGGTGAGTATGAATTCCCCGGAGGGAGCCTTCCCCCAGCCCTGCTCGGGGAACATGGCTGCTCCCTGCTGCTGGCGCCTCTTCCTCCTGTCAGCAGCATTGAGCAAGCTGAAAAGTCACCAGAATGCAGCTCTTTAGCCACACCAGGCACAAAGCCATCTCTGGTTTTGTGTTGGTTTGGGGTTTCTTTTTTCCCCAACTTGTCTAGTCATCCAAGGCAGCCTCCATCCACCCCCCGGGCACAGCACTCCTGGGTCCTGCAGCTGGTCCGGGGACTGGTGCGTGGGTTTTTGGGGTCACTGAGGGTGGATGATGCAGGTTATTTACTGCTGGCTAGGTCCACCCCACCCCTTGTTTTTTGAGCTCGGTATTTCTTTGCTCCTCATGCTTGGTATTAACTCTGAGAGCAGGAGGAGGGGGAGATGAAAGGCCTTTTAGCCCAAATGCACAGAGGAACCCGTTTTAGTTATTGCGCCCATTTTCCCATATTATTCAAGAAGAACCTTCCTTAATGCAAGTGTTTTGGAAGAGGCACAGATCAGGTATGTAAAGGGATGCTGCCTGGGTTTGACATAATATGCGTTCATCCATTTGTTACCTATATGCATGTAATTAAAAATACAGTATCTAATGATAATATTTGCTTGTTAAGCTGTAAAAGATCTCTTATGTGATTATTTAAAAAAAAAAAAAGCCCCTGTAGAATTTGTCAGGTGCTATTTCCCTTTTTGTAGGCATACATCCATGTTGAGGACCAGAGCAAGGGGATGTCTGGGCAGTCACTGGGGGTTTGAGGTTTGCTTTTGGTGGTCACCTAGTACTAGTGGTGAGCTGGGAGAGCAAGGCCATGCCAGTATCCCACCTTAGTTCCATCTTCTCGGGCTACCTACTCTGCTGTTTTTCCGTGTGACCGTGTTTTCGCTGTATCATTGCTGTTCCCCAGGTGTGACAGACCTCTTCCTGGGCACTTTTAGAGGACTCATAGGAAGTACCATAGCCACAAACTTTCCTTCACTTCTAATGTGCAATATTACGTTTTGCTAAATCCCCAAATATCTTAGATGTGCTTGCTTTAGATTTCGTTTCCAATCATAGTGCGTATCTGTACAGATCTTGTCTCATCTGCCACACAGGTTGTGTTTCATTTACAGTGCTTGTTTTTGTAAAAAATTAAGTGATGTGACTTGTATTTAATAAGCTCAATCTTCATTAAAGGTGGTGTCACAAAAATAAAAGGGCTCATAGCAAAACATTTTCAAACCTCTGTAGTGAGGTTCAACAATGTATTATGCTGGAGAAAGCAGCAGGGGACTCCAGTAGAATAAGAATATGTAATACGGAGTTAATAGGTGTTTGAGCTGCATCGCTCATTAATGCTCGGGACTTGTATGGTCACAATTCAGGGCATGGATCAAAGTGCCTGTATTTATAACACTAACATATATAGAAAATAAAGGAGGGGGCCTCAAAGGAAGAGTAAGGAATGCCCTCGATTTGTTTAGGGTCAGCAACGTAATCCAGTTCAGCTGTGTTGCCAACATGGCTTTGAAATTTTAGCATTGCTTTTATTTGGTACCTAAAAGGGCTGATTTCAATTCTAGAGCAAGTGTGTGGGTTTTAATTTTTGACAGAATTTAAATGTGTAATTAGGCTTCTGCCATGCCATAAAAAGCAGATTTATGGGATCGTTGGTGCTTGTTAAAGGTTCTTGATGATAGTGGTGTTAAGCAGGTTGGTTGGAGTCGTAATTAGGTAAAGACCAAAGAAGCTTTGGGGAATAAGAGGAGGACATCCGCGGGTCAGGACTGGCACCACCAGTGATGCCAGTTGCCCAGTGCCTGTCCGTGTGCCGTGAAGCTGCACGGTGCTATTTGGTGTAGCTGTGCACGAGGCACGAATCCAGTGCTCTGCTCCTGTTTCCCCCCAAAATACAGTTGCCGGATTTCTTCCCTGTAGGACAGCAGTATAAATACAGTCATCTTGGAAAAGCCTGGAGACTTGTGTGCTTTGGAGGCCATCTGTCTGAACGTACGGAGAAAGGCAGTGATGTCCTGTGTTGGTGCTGCCCATCCCACCCAAAGGACAGAAAAATGACAATAAAAGAGTTTCCAGCTCCAAATTTGTCTTTTATTCGGCTAGTTTACAAATTAGCACACAGGCAGAAACGATTGCAGTGGGAATGAGAAGGGCTCGTTCTCCTGTGTATTGCTCCAGCTGAGATATTAGTGAAAGCTTTCTCAGTGAGGTGTTAGGGAAGAAATGGTCACAGCAAGGGTAATCGGGCATGGGAACAGGGGCCCAGAGAGGCTGGAGATGGTCAGAGCTCGACTAGACAAGTTAAAAAAAACCCAACCTGATGCAACTGCAGGTTGGCCTGGCTTTGGCTGGGGGTACGACCAGGCAACCTCTCGCTCCTTCTTTGGAGAATCTTTGTCTACCTGTTTGAATATTTTTTTTTTTCCTACATGGAAAATAGAGCAAGGGAGCGTTTCCGTAGAGGGCTTGTGAATTCTTGTTTCTTAGGGTGACGAACGCAAAGGTAGAACTGGGACGTGGTCTTAAGGTCTGCATCATGATCTGGGTCATGGCTTTGCTGGGGTTTTGCTTTTGGCATCCATCGTACCCAGGCGTGAAAACCTGTTGTTTGCAGTGGGCCTGTTGTGGTACCCAGGGTTGGGGTACCGTTGTCCAGAGCACCTACATCTCTGGTATGGCAGGCATCTACAGCGGGGGAATATTTTAACTACTAAAATGGGTCACTCTTGGTAGTTTTTATCAAAGCATCCGCAAAAACTGTGGGTCAGTCTTAAAACTGAACCAAAAGGGACCTGGTTTGCGGTGGGATGCCATAAACACCCAGCTTAATGATTAGTGTTGAACAATCCTGTGAGTTACATTGTATTAGGGTTTTTCTTCTGCAGTTTTTCTGAACTGCTTGCCTCCAAGTTAGTTATTGTTTTAAATTTCCTCTGCTGGGTTTTGTATGAACTGAAAAATATGTGCTGACAGTGATTTTGCAGAAGTACACTAGCCAAAATTTAAATCTTTGTTTTCTCTTGCCCTTCTATACTTACGCCAAGGATCTGGCAGAACATTTGGGCCAGCGCTTAACTTTGAGCGCATACGCAGCAGGGTGACTTGAAATTGCTGTTGATTTGAAAGGAATTGTTTGTGTTGAGTCCTGTGCTGGGGTCTTCAAACAGAAGGTTGAACGGTTCAAACACCTTCCTGAGCTCTTTGTAAACTTGCATTTTTCATTTTAAAATAGCACTTACTGGAATTTTCCTTTTTCTTTTTTTCTTCTTCATAGGCTACAAAAAAAGGCAGTGGTGGGGTGGTGGAAAAGAAAGGAGTTGGATAATGGGCCTAATTGTCAACCAGAGTAACTTAGGCTCTAGTAAACAAACAAAAAAAGGAATTAATTTTAAATAGAGACCTGTCTCTTGCATTTCTCTATGCAAATAAGAGGAGCACAGCTGGAGCTTCTTTTATGGCCTGATGATTTTGACGACTAATCAATTTTACAGTGTCTCTTCAAGCTTCTGTCCCAGTCGGTTGTGTTTTATATTTTTTGCAGCAGTTGGTGTGTTGGAGAGATTCTTGTGAGGTTGAGGTCTGTGCTGGAGAGCTGATGGAAACCAGGACTCCTTGCCTCCAATGTGAAACCGCTGCTCTCCAAAATGAGCAGAGCCGGGGCTTTGGCTGACGAGCTAGCACGTCTTTCTGAGGTGGTTTAAAGTGTTATCTCCTGCTGCTGGCTGGTCTGGCAGGGTCTGCTGAGGGGTGTGCGTATGTGTAACGGAAGACCTGGTGGTGGTGGGAGCTGGCCTTTGCTAGTGGTTTTGGGCACCGGTGACGAGCTGGGTGGCTGCATTGCAATGCCCAGTGCCGCAGGGCAGGACGGGCAGACAGCACGGATGGGCAACCTGGAAAGCTGTGGCTGCAGGACCTGGTGGAGTCTTGAGGGCATCTGCCTTGCGTAACACAGCAGTGAAGCCAAAGTGGTTGCTGCAGGAGGTCTCAGGTCACATTAAACACGCCACGCTGAGAGCTGTGGTTTTTGGCAGTGGCTGCACATCTGCATCTCTTGCACTTTGGGCGGATGGGTGCCTCATGCTGGGAGGGGACGTGCGCCGCTGTTCTCCTGCCTCTGTCCGGGGGTGAGTGGGGGAGCGGAGCCTCCCCGTCCCGCTGCCCTTTGTCCCCTGGTATGTGAGGGTGCGGATGAAGAGCCTGCACTGATATCCCAACCTTCCTGGGGGACAGGGCAGGACTGTGCCCTAAGGAAGAGGGGCTACGGGGAGATGGCTCATTAGGGTTTGATTCCTGCCACTCTTGGGTGGCACACTCCTCAGCTGAGCCTAAAGGAGGGATGTCCTGCCCTTCTTGGCAGAGGTTTTAGGATCATGTCCTTCTGCCAGAAGGACACCAGTTGAGGTGGGGCCAGAGTTGGATTATGAGGAGGTGAGATCCTGTTTGCTGCTCATTCCTTTTGAGGTGCTTCTCACCTGCAGTGGGATGTTTGTCTGGGTAATGAGCAAGTATTTTAGTTGTGCTCTTGGATCAGGCCCGTTCACGGTGGGTTTGATGCCAGAGGGACAGAGCTGACACCAGAGGAGTTGAACCCAGGTGTTTGCAAGGAGGTGAGCAGCTGGATGTGAAATCTTGTGGTTCCTGTTAACCCTGCTCAATGGGTGCTGAGTTGCGGGGTGAGCAGCAGTGAGTTTTGGGGTGCAGGGAAAAATACAGGGGCTACCTTGGGAGGGGATCCTCAATCTGGGAGCTGCAGCGGTTGCTCTGCCATGCCCAGACCCTTTGCAAGGAGAGCAGCTGGATGTGAAATCTTGTGGTTCCTGTTAACCCTGCTCAATGGGTGCTGAGTTGCGGTGAGCAGCAGTGAGTTTTGGGGTGCAGGGAAAAATACAGGGGCTACCTTGGGAGGGGATCCTCAATCTGGGGGGGGGGGGGGGGGGGGGGGGGGGTTCTCCCCACCACAGAGCCCC